AGCATATTCCTCATTAGAAAACAAAAGAGAAGTGAAAACAAAGTTACTATTTATAAAGTCATCGGTAATATCTTAATATGAAGTAGTAGATTATTAATCAGCCATTTTCAGATAAAGTATAAAACACTTATTCATCAATGATAATATCTGCATAATACTGATTACTTTTTTTTAATTAGTGAAGTGCTTAAACAACTTTAATCTGATGAACATTAAAATTAAAGGCAGACCATTTGCAGATTGATAGCGTAAAATAAGTATATTAACTGAAGAAGGGTTTTGAGAAAGTCACAATACAAACTCTAACACATTCTGTGAAATATTAATTACATTACCATGGTATTTATACTAACTTTTATAAAGACAAAATACAGAAATGATAGGAATAATTTGCGTTTTCTATCTTAGTAAATTCTAGTAAAACATCTGATACATCATCCGGATTCATGTTATTTGTAATTAAAAACTTTTTTATCAGATTTTGTCTTCATAGTAGCAATAACATACTTCACATATAAGATTAATAGAAGGGATTATTTTTATATATAGAGCAAAGATGATTCACAAGACTATTAATCTTAAAGCAAAAGTCATATAAGGATTTTCAATCTGATTCAGAAAGAGTACATTCTTCCATATATTACATCTGAATTTCTTCCTATTATTGATTAAGATGTTCATCAATACTTTTAAAACATAGGATTCTTTTTTTACATTTGCATTCACGATCTTTTGTAAATCTTTTTTTACACTGATTATATGATCTAGTTACTCTTTTTATAGGATTGTTCACTTTATTACAATAAAGACGAACATTATGATAGACAAATAGTTTATTAGCTCTGGCTTTTCATTTTTATAGTATATCACGAAATAGTTAATTATTCATTTTTAATTCACAATTTTTAGATGCGATAAGTATCAACAAAATCAAATGCAATTTTTAAAACAATTTTAACCATCGATTACTTAAAGGTAATTCACAGTTTTATATTCATTTTATTATTATATATCATAAGAATAATACATACAATATTATTAAACAAATAACATAATTATAATTTTTTTACAATTAATTAAAAAGATTGTAAAATACATATAAAATAATCTTAGATCATCACAGTTTTATATTCAATTTTATTATTATATATCATAAAGATAATGCATATGATATTATTAAACAAATAAAATAATTATAGCTTTTTTACAATTAATTAAAAAAATTGTAAATATATATTAAAATAATCTTAGATCACTTTTATTGTAAATTTGTTAATTGTTTTTAATTTTTAAATATATCAACCATGTTAGTATAGTATTAATTTGTTAATTTCAAATAAAAATTAAATAGTAGGTTTGGTTTATTATTAAAGTTCTGAAAATCCCAATTCAGTTCAAATTAGAAGCCAATTCAATCTGATTCAGGATTTTCAGTTTGATTCAGTTCAAATTATAAATCCAAAAATGTCAATTTAAACTGATCCTATCCAAAATTTTTGAATAATCCGAAAATTTTCAGATTAATCTGAAATTTCAGCCTATTAAATACTAATAAAAATTGTTCAAATAGTTTAGATGTGATTTTTATTAGTATTTTCTAATAAATGTACTCTCTGACAGTATGGTTGCAATAATAAAAGCTGCTTCTGATAATTCAAGTGTGATTTTATTAAAAAATATTGCACTCAAAGTATCAGTGGTGACTTTTATTAGAAAAAATGATAATAAATTCACCTTTAAACTGTTAGGTGACTTTTATTATAAAAAATAATAATAAAAGCTATTTCAAACTATTAAAGGTATTTTTTATTATAAATGATAATAATAAAAGCTGTATTCAAACTATCATAGTTGACTTTTATTATAAATGATAATAATAAAAGCTGCATCTGAATTATTAGATGTGACTAAGGTTGCTTGTCTAAACTCATTTTGGATTTGGCAAAACGTTAAAACCTTTAGTTTTGCTAAATTTTTACTAAGTATTTGATATAGTTTCGCCATTTTTATAAGCTTTGATATAGTTTTACCTTTTTCCAAATTTCGCAGATTTTTTAATAAGGTTTTAATATAATTTAACCAAGTTTTACTTTTACCATTTAGATGTCTGTCTAAACTCTTAATTTCGTCCAACAACCTTAGATTTGACTTTAATTAAAAAATACTAATGTAAGTTGCTTTCAAAAGTTTAGATATGATAATAAAAGCCACTTTTGACAGTTAAATAATTTTTAATATATTTTAAATTAACTTTATAAATTTAAAGAAAACTATTAAATAAATAGCAATTATTTATTTTTAATCATATAAGGATTTAAAATCATTTAAATCTTTATCACAAATTAACATGTGATAAAAATTAAATTTTTATTAAAAGATTCAACATTCTTATATATTAAATTATATTATTTAATAAAATAATTATATTACATTTAGTTTAACAAATTTTTCAATTAATTAGCTTAAAGAATAATAAAAATATTATAATAAATTTATATAATAATATAACTAATGATTATAATCACTTTTTTCTATAAATAAGTTACTAACATTTTATATTTAATTAAATGCTTATAATAAATTTATTATGTATATACAGTCAAACCTTGATATAGTGAACCCTTAATATAGCGAATTTTTAAATCAAATATATTAAAATTACCTTACTATAGTGAACTAGCCAATTAAATTCTTTAAAAAATTCGTTATAAGCTTATAATGAAGTTGATATCCAGATCCTAGAATTCGTTATATCAAGAGTTCATTATAAACAAAATATGTATAATTATTTATAATAAATATAAATAAATTATTAATATTTTATCTTTTATGATATAATCATATATACAGTATATGCAAATTTAAGGTTTACTAATTTATCCCTTAGGCTCAAATTGCTAGTATAATTAAGATTAATTAGAGTTAAGGTTAGAATTAGGATTAGGATTAGAGCTTAAATAATTTATCACTAGCATGCAAAACATAAAATAGTACTGTAAAAAACAGAGATCTCTGGTTATGTTTAAAAATATTTGGTAAATTTTTTCAGAATCAAATATTTTTCCGAATGAAAATTGTTACCAATTTTCAATAAAATTATTGATTTTATTAAAAAAACTTTTTTTCGATAGTTTTAAAAAATGTTAATTTTAGAATATTATTTTAAAATTTCTAAACCTAATGATGTCAATGAAAAGTATTTACTCAATAAAATGATATTCTTTTGTTAAAATATGATAAAATCTTATAAGTTTATTAATATTTATTTAGTTTAGAAAGTAGTTCAAATGAAGTTAATTTTGATGATATTTTTAAATTTGATGAATCTACTGAACCTATTCGCAAATCTTTAATTCGCAAACCTATAATACATTATTATAAACCTTTTAAAAAACTAAATTTTAATCATAAAACAGAAGTTTTTTAGTAAGAATGATTAAGAATTTACTCTTGGTTAATATATAATGCTTCAAAAAAGTTGATATTTTGTTCAATTGTAAAGCTCATAAAATGTTAATTTGTTTTGCAAAAGAATGTATAATATAAAATTTTATTATTTATGGTATTTACATATTTTGATACTATTAAATTAATAATAATTTAATTAAAATTTAGGATCTAAAAATATGAAAGCTTTAACTCTGACTGAATATTCTATTATTAATAAGCATACACGAGCAAATAATATTAAATTTGCAAAAGTACAAATGAAAAAAGTTACAAATAATGCTATTAATAAACATATAAACATACTTGCAGTTTAATGAAAATTATTTTTTGGTTAACTAAAAATGATATATCATTAAATAAATTTCCAAGTATTATTTAACTTGGTCGAATTCTAGAATTTCCAAAATTATTTTCAATACTAATTCAATAACATATAAAATCCTGTATCTAGTCAAGATCTTTATCTACTATAGTATTTAACAATTAAAGAAAAGATTTAATAAGAATTAAAAAATTCTACTTCTATTGGAATAATGATTGATAAAAATACAGATATAGTATATAAATCACATATGATTATATATGTTAAATATTATATTCAAGAAGTAATAAAAGTTAAATATCTTTAGCTTATTCAATTAAAAATAAAGATGCAGATTCAATTTTTAATGTCATAATTATACTTTTTAATAATAATGGTTTGTAAAATATTTTATACTTTATTTATATTTTAACAAATTAATTAACATATTTTTTAAAAAATATTTTTATAGAAATAATATCAAAAATCACTTCATTTGCATCTGATGGAGCAAGTTTAATGCTTAAAGTTGCAACAAAAATTGCAAAAGAAATCCATATTTATTTATTGTATAACTCATATGTTGGCATTAGCATGTAATTCTGCAGAAAAACAAGTTTTTTTTTGTAAGTATATAAAAAATATTATAAAATCAGTTTATTCTTTTTTAGTTTTTCAAGTAAAAGAAAAGAAACATTATGGTAATATCAAACTATTTTAGATTATCCTATTCTAAAAATCAGATAAATTCATAAAATAAGATGGTTATCATGGTATAAAGTAGTAAAAAATTTATGCTTAACTATTGAACTATTAATGGATACATTATTAGAAATGTCTGTTAATTCAAATCGAAATCAAAAAGAAAGCATTATTCAATTATATACTCAAATCTGTGATTGGAAGTTTTTGGCAGTTCTTTTCTTTTTATATGATATCTTAAGTTATCTTAATAATTTAAGTAAAATATTTTAGCAATGAAATATTCAAATTTTAGACATTAATTCAGTAATTGAAATGAAAATTAACAAAATTAGATTGGAATATTTGGACTTTGATAATAATGGAAAATTATTACTTGGAAAAATTTAAATAATTTTTTAATTTAAACACCATCTGAATAATGTTAATATTGGTGCTCATGAGTTAATGTGGATAGAGGATTATGAATCAGATTTAATTTCTATAATTTCATCATTTTCTGGTGCAAATACAAGAAAGATTTCCAAATCAACCTTTATTAAATGCAATGAAAATTTTTAATCATTTGATTTGGCCAAATAATAAAGAATTATTGGTCGATTATGAAGAGGATGAATTGAATATTTTGATGGAATATTATAAGGCCATTATTGATAATAATGTTTTTGAAGAATGGAATAATTACAAAGCAATAATTTATGCTAATTATAAAACAACAAAATTGGAGTTGTTGCTTCCAAAGTTATTTGAAAATTATTTTGAAACTTTTCCAAATATATTAAAGTTATTGAGTATTATTTACTCAATTCCTTTTTCAAGTGTGGAATGTGAGAGAGATTTCTCAAAGCAAAATTTGATCAAAACAGATTTGAGAAATAATCTAAATAATGAAACCTTAAATTTACTAATGATGATAGGGTTAGATGATGTAGATTTATTGGAATTTGATTTTAGCCATGCTTTGGAAATTTGAATTCACAATGTAAACGAAAAATTCAAATTTTAATAAACTTATTTGATTCGTAAATCATAACGATAATTTTTAATTTTATCTATAATTTTATAAATTTATTTGAAACCGGATATTTTTCCGTTTGATTTTAAAAAAATCCGGTAAATTTTTATGTAACCGGATATTTATCTTGATATCCTATTTTACGCTCTGCCGGCGTGACACCGGTAGTGTTTAAGTATCTGGGGGACTTAGAATTTTTTTAGGTGTTGATGTTGATTTGTCGCCCCCTCAGTACGTGACAAATAATATAGTTAAATATACCAGCCAATCAGAGCCTGGGGGGTAAATTAGTGAAATCGCAAATTTTATATGAACTGAAATAAATTTATTTTTTTATTATTATTTTTTTTTTTTGCGATAATTCATTACAACATTTTATCCAATCCTATTTATTCAATCCAATTTATCTTCGGTAAGCATTAATATTTTAAACTTGAACAAAAAGTTTTTTTAATTATGATTCGTAATCATTAAAGAAATATAAAATTCAAAAGAATTAAAAGAATTAAATGTCTATTATAAAAAGAAGTTTTTATTGGTGTACTGTATGTCATGATAGTGTTGATTCTTTTTATTTAGTACTTGCTGTTATTATTGTTTCGATCGTACCCTTGTCCGTATTTTTTGCCGTAGTCATTATAATTATTGTTGTCGTGGTCGTTTTTATGGCCGTAGTCATTATAATTATTGTTGTCGTGGTCGTTTTTATGGCCGTAGTCATTATAATTATTGTTGTCGTGGTCGTTTTTATGCCCGTAGACATTATAATTATTGTGGTCATGGCCGTTTTTATGTACATCGTTTCTCTTATATTTGCCATCAATTTTATACTTTTTACCATGGTTATCATTTTTATAGTCGCTCTTACTGACATTTTTAACTTTGTAATCTTTATCATCCTTGCCTTTGTAATCTTTGTCGTTATCCCAACCTTTTTTACCCCAATCTTTATTATCCCAACTTTTGTAATCTTTCAAGTCCTTGTAAGAATCGTCTTTCTTGTATCTGTTATCACGTTTTTCAAATACTTGAAAGATTTCAAAAGGAAATAATATTTAGTTCAGATTCAAAAAAAGGGAAAATCAATTTTTTAATAATCCTTTAATCACCTGGAATTGCGTTTACTGCAGTCAATATGCTGATAACCGACAAAATTGTAAAAACCTTCATTTTTTTAACGTTTTCAATATAATGGATGATATTTTTTTTTTTGGTTGATTCAAAGCGAGGTGAGGAACTTTTGATTAAAGAATTTCATGTTCTTTATATACTTTTTCATTCGTTATTAATCAATCCTTTTACGAATTTCTCGCACTTCTTGATCGAAGTTTTGTAAAAAAATTGAGACGTGTGAAGATAGTAATGTTCATAGTAAAAAAAAAATTAATCAGTTCTTATGAAATGGTACAAGGTTCATCGATAATAACCATTCATAGTAAATGATTCTTATCATTATCGAATTATGAAAAATTTCATACCAAATAATTTTAGTTAACCCTAACATTTAATTAAGGGTCTTGATAATTGGACACTAAAAACAAAATATTTCCATACTTAAAATAATAATTTCTATCAAAATTTCCGTAAATTGACTAATTCATAAGCCAAAATAATAATAATAATTATCATTTTTATTATTTGGGACTCGATATTAAATTTCTTGATGATAAGATCGAGCTTAAACTTTTTTCATTATAAAAATCGACCGATTTGATGATATATTTAGTTAGGCGCATGTAAGCTTTATTTTAAGGTACTTATTTTTAGAATTACTATGAAATACCTAACAATTAATAACTCATAGAAGTAGAAGACTTGGTCATTATTCTTGGCGAAAGGAATGACGAAAAAGAAAACATGTAGGAGAATTTGTATTTATAAATAATCTTTTATTTTATATATTATATATAATATTGTAAGATATCCTGCTGATATTATTGATCGACCGGAATAATCTTTACATCATTCGGGCTTTTCTATAAAATTAATTAAATATTAAGGTTTTCTAAACACGCTTGTTGTGATCTTCTTTGTTTGATTGTTTAAATCATTGTTTCAAGTTATGTCACAACCAGTCCCGAAAAAAAATTTTTTTTTACATTTTTTACATTTTTTTTTTTTTTTTTTAAAAAAAAAAAAAAATGTTTCAAAGGGTGTAATTATGTCTTCAGTGTATTCTATAGCAATGGGATACATTTAAATGTTTTCATAACTTGGAATTAGATCTGTATTATCACTGGGACTAATGTTGTACAAGAGAGTTAAAAAGTTAGAGCGAATATGTAATTCAAAAAAATTGAAAATCCGAAGATAAGTACAAATTTTGAAAGGTGAAAAGTTTTGACATTTTTTAATTGGATCCGACATATACATGCAGAAAATTCTTTTATATGTATTTTGAAACTTTCATGATTGATCATTGAACAAAACAACTTTGATTTAGTCAACCATATATAATAAGTCTTGCCAAAGATCTTTAAGTTTTAGAATTTGTCTGAGAGATGAAAATAATGTGTTTTTCTTCCCTTTTATTG